ACTGCGACTGCACCTCTTGCAGTGCATTGTATTGCGAGCATTGACGACGGCTACAACAGGTCATGCAAGACAATGAGCTGGTCACGCAGCCAACTTCATCCCCATCCCATGTCACCAGGAAACTCGGAATACGCGCGTGTGGCAAGGAAAGAGGAAGCAGTGGTGGTGCCTACTTTACTCTTTTACTGTTGACAACTGACCAACTTTAATAGCTCATTACAATTTGGGTGGTGCTAGCAGGCGGCATCGGGGCGGCCTTACCACCTGTCCAAGATAATAGCCTGTGTGGGGGAAACAACCACGCAGCATTAGCAAATTTGTGCAACACTTGAAGGTGGCATTGGAAAGCAGAGGGGAGGAGGAAATAGCGGAAAGGCACAAGCGAATATTACATGACTTATTTTGTTGCATTGCCAGGGCTTCCTCTTCAGTTCTGGTCTATCTTTTCATTATTGATGGCGGTCACTTGAAGAGCAACCCATTGAAAAGCTTCATACATATTTCGGTAGTATTTGTTGCGTAGAGTGAGGTGCCACACTCTCCACCACTTGTATTGTTCTACGCTTACTGAATCCTGACTGCTGCATTTAAATGCCGCTTCGTTGAGCTGAAGTAGATTGCTCACGAGGATGTTAGAACGGCCGTAGTTAAATGTCGATTGGCCTTTCTGGGGAGCATCAAAGTCCAGAATCAGCAGCAGTGGATAGTGAAACGATTTTTTGGAAGCGATACTACTTATGTTTGCCATGAGGGTCCGCAATTCGTCTGGTAGACTTTGACAATTTTGGCATTGTTGCGTAGAGTTGATAGCGTAAACCACAGCATCGAATTGGCGGATGGAAGAAATGTCAAGGGACGCTCTGTATTGGGAAACTTCGTTTTGTAAAGTACTAACATCAAAGTGAATGTCAAAATTTGATACGCGTTTTACTATTTGCGGAAAATTGCCATATTTTGACGTTGTTTTTTTAGGGTGTTTTCCATGCACCAGTCCCCAAGCAACAATAGTGTTTAGGAAATATGTGCGGATATCTAGGTCCTTCAGTTGGCTTTCTATCACCAAAAAGTGAAAGATTTTGTCTCCACCAGGCCAAACGGCATTCTTGCAATAAGAACGCGACCGACAATCCTCTTGGTAGTACCGAATGGCCTTATAAAGCTGAGTCGACTGCAACTCAATCTTCTCCTCCGACTCCATCTCTTCCTCTGGCATCGAAAGTGCAGTGTAGAGCCATCGGTAGACGGTTGCATTCACCCACTGCATTTTACTCACGTATTTGTACAGAACATCTCTGATAGTTTTGGATTTGAGAATACACTTTGCAGTGGGCACTGCCTCACAAATATCGACAACGTTTGGACCGTCAAGGCATTTGCAAATGTCAAGGCACATAGCCCTCTTCGTTATCTCCATCATCGGTACGGCAATTGCAGCGAATGAATCGACTTCCCAACTAGTGAGGCCTCCCAACAGTTAACACAGATCGAGTGAACAGAATGCAAAAGTGAACTCATTTTCCTTAAATGGGCGCCAAAAAGAGCGAAAATTGTGTTTGACGGGGGTTCACTTCTGATCAGATTATCCTTTACTCCGCTCTTTCTAGGCGAGCGTTATTCCTTGATTTACCGAGGCATGGGATCATGCAATTGAGCATACCTTTGAGCGAATTAAACAAATTGGCTCCATCCCTTTGCTGTGTGCAAAAAAGTCGAATGACTAGAACCCGTCCTTGGAATTTCTACCCCAGGACTGAGTGCTTTTGAACTGCATAGAGTGTGCAATGTATTTAAATCTTGAAAAGGCATAGAGATGATGCGATGAATTGACCTTGAAAATGACGAATGAAGTAGGACTTGAATGTGGAGACCCTCATTTCCGGTGGTCGTCATGACAGATCGGGTATTTAATGCTAACTGCTTGCCAAGTTGTGCAAGCTTTTCTCGAGGGATTTGCATAACACCTCAACGACACCCTTGAAGAAAATGAAGAACTTTGAGAACACGCACACACACGAGAGGCAATGCTTTTACAAATGAGCACACAGAGGTCGTAAAAAGGTTGCCCATCTTTAGCACTTTTTGAAGTATCCCTACTTCAGTTACAAATGAGCAGAATCGCGCCCACTTTGAATTTAGAGTACTCACAGAGGAGGCAGTAATAGCACCTTTTGGATCCATTTTTTGATGATATGTGCACTTGGAGACAGTATTTGTGGGTACTTGCGCAATTAGTTGTTATTCACTTATCAATCACCACTGGTGCCAGAGAGGTAGACAATTGTGAAGGCAATGCCATGTGCCTGTGAGGTGGGCTCGTACAAGCCGCATTCGTCGATGCCATGCGTCATGGATTGTGCCCAGCGTAACACGTACCTCCACTTCACAGCTTCCAACTTCATTTTCGTTATAAAATTCAAACTTACTTTACCTTTTACATTTGTTTCATTTTTATGCATCAAAAGTTTTAGACTGTTGCGCAATTTCTCACAAACATTTAGAAAGTAGCAAATGAAATCCCTCTGCATATACTATAATGCATCCACAAATGTCCTTCGGCGAAACGCTACTTTTGTCCCTTATAAGTAGACCAACAGAATGGACGAAAATCGCAGTGTTTGGAGGGAGGGCTTTGTCAGTAGCTTTTGTGAAATTCAGACGCTTTCTGGAAGCAAAGTGTGAAGTAGCTTTGATAAATAATTTGTGCTGCAAGAAAAGGACGCCTACCTAAGAAGAAAAGTAGAAAAAATTTCAGAAACAAAAGCGAATTCGCCGTAAGAACCAATTTTGAGAGAGCTGGTAAGTTTAGCAGCTAGCCGTGGAAGGCGACTGGAGCAGTTTAAGTTGCA